GATTTAAGCATGAATTCCACCTCTAAACAACATTTCAAGGCTTCTACAATCAAAGCCCTAGCATAATTTAACCAAATCATAATATTCTCAAAACCCTAAGTCATCGCCAACATAAATTTCACCCAATTTCAAGTAGTTTTAATCACCATACAAGCTTTAGAATTAATCTCCAACATCAAAAACATAAAAAACTTTCATCAATTCCTCAAAATCAAAAACTCCTACATAAACCCTAATTTCCAAACTCATCATATAAGCTGATCTCCATGTAATATTTATATCAAATGATAGATAATTTCAAGGGGATTAATTCTCTATTTAATAGTTTAATCAAAAAATCAATCGAAAAAGCTTAAAATAAAATAAAATATTTTACCTTGTAGCTATGGTGGTGCACGTTTTAGGGCTGGAAGAAACTGAAAATTTCTGATTTTTCTTCAATTAAAACATAATACACTTGGCTTAATCTAATATAAATGAATTTAAAATTCTTTTAATATGAAATTATCATTTTACCCTTAATGAAACATGATAATTTCAACTTGACATTGCATTATCATCCCTTTTAATATTCCAAAATCAAATATGAACAAATAAAAATTCATTTTCCACCTTTGCCCTTGCAAATTTTCAAAAACTATAATTTAGCTACTAAATTTTTCAATTTCAGTTAAATGTGCAAAATCGGCTTTAATACCACCTATCCAAATTAAATTTCACTGTTATAAAATTTGAAAATAATATTTCCAACCTTTATATTTCATCCTTCAAATTTTCGTAAAATTCTGGTTTGATCTAATTATCCGATTTTCTTTCGGATTTTACTACTTTATAACTTTTAACACAAATTCCGGATCAAAATTATGATTCCCATGAAAACATCAAAATACCTAACTTTTAAAAATTTCCCTTTTAGTCCCTAATTTTTTTTCAATTTTCCACTTTAGTAATTAAATTTTCAAAATTTATGTTTTGGTCACTAAAAAATTTGGGGTATTACAACATACTTACTAATAATTCATACGAGATTCCTTCATGAATATTTTCTTCTTAATACTAATTGCGCTAGCTGAACTGATTACATTTAGAATCGTCATTGATCGATTATCGATGAGACAAATAGGTATTTCGGTGGTATTATTTATTTATGTATTGTATCAGTATCAAGAATGCTCTATATGACTGTGTCATGATCCATAACCTTTAGGGACGATACAACATTTAAGTTTATTGGTGTTTCTAGAATTTATCCAAAAACATTCACTTATTCCAAGTCATTAGGATATTTAAGTCACTTTAACACTCGATGTTACTTCAGTCATCTTAGAGTTCAAGGTATTCTAATCTTTTTAGGGTTTAGGGGTATTTTTGTCATTTGAATACTGGAGCTTATTTTAGTTATTTCGTAGCTCGAGGACATTTTGGTAATTCTGTTCAATCCAAACATATGTGCTTTATCTAGTAATTTGGTCAAGTATGTCTTTTTAGGGTTATTTTTCACTTTTAGGGTCAATATTGGTCTTTTTTTACAATACAAAGGCATTTTCATAATTTTACTCCGTAGGGTTATTTTTGTAATTTTTAACCAATTATTCATGGCATTTAACCTTGAAAGATACTAACCAGAATTTACAGATCTTGAGGTCAATTTATTTACTAATTAATCACTAAACTTAGAACTGTTTCCGGTAGGTCTTCCAATTTCTTATGCGATCCATTTGAGTCTTATACATTGTTATGCCTTTATACCATGTTCAATTCGAGTCCAACAATAATTAAATACACATAATTGACCAATCATTTACATTCATACATTTACCCGTTATCAATGAGTTTCGAAAATTATGCAAAAGGTTGTAGACTATTATCTTGATTTTTGAGCCACGTCAGTTAATCATTTTAAATTTATTTGATCGTTCTCGTACTTTAATTTCATGTCTCATAATATCTAGAATACATGGAAAAATAAATTGCATTAGAAACAAAACTTAAATTTGAAAATTAGTATCGAGTCAGGAGATAAAACATCAAAAAAAACTTACCGAGTTTGAATTTGGAGAAACAAACTTCGGATTCGGACTCAAGACGTCGAAAAACATTAAGTAGGTTTTTACATAAAATTTTAACTTTTTGGTCAAAGTCAACGGTTTGAATTGATTTAGATGAGTTGACTTAGTTGGAAAATAGACCGGTTCAATCTAAGACAAACAGGTTCAGTCCAACTGGATCATTTCCAAAAGATTCATCGGTAGCCGAGAAGCCCCACGTGCGACAGTGGCGTGTAGTGGTGCGTGATGATTTAGATGGGGCAAATTTCGATGATCAACTACTCCTTATTCAAGCACCCACCAAAATTAACTAAAAGCAGCCCATACACTAACCCAAAGCTAAATGAAAAACGAAAGAAAACGATCGAAAGCTTCCCTCAGTGAAATACGACGAAATCGATGATAGTACAAGACCCATCAGTTGGGTTTTGCTCGGAACGAAGCGAGGAGTTCAACGATGTAGAAAGTGAGACAAAATGATGGTTGATTGGGCCAAAAATTGCGATAAACAATACGGTGGCCAGGGTTTACGACAAACCTTCGAACATCGATTCATAGCTAACGACATCGATTTACGACGAAGAACATAGGGCTTTTGGTCACGAGTGGTCACTGATCACTTTGGAACGGGCAGCGTACTACACCTCCGATTGGACGACGACAATCGAGGCTCAACAACAAACGGGTTGGTTAAGCTCTATTTTGGTTTTCAAATGGGGAAGATGGTTCTAGTTGAATAATTTGATCCAATTAAGAAAAAAATGATAATTTTTATATTTTATTTTAATGAACAGTAATTAGCTTAGCTCGGTTGGAAGGGCATGGGCTCTCATTCCTAAGGTTAGGGGTTCAATTCCCCTCAATCACACGTTTGAAACAAAAATCCCACATTTTCCATTCTTTTTGCTGACCAATGATATTCAAATCGGGGAACGAGTCCCTAAACTTTAAGGGACATTCAAAAAGTATCAATTCTAGCCATCTGGAGCCGTTGTGGATCATTATAGCCACAACTACAACAAAAAATAGAATTTAATGCATAAGGTATCGATCTTTTGGTGAAAGGGATCAATTATTTTTAAAATTATTCGATTGTTGCAAGGAAGGGATTGATCCTTTAGGGCAAGGGATCGATCCTTTTTCCTTGAGGGATCGATCTTTTTTGTGAAGGGATCGATCCAAAACCTACTGAATATAAGGGATCGATCCTTTGAGCAAAATATTCTTGGAAACTCGATTTTAAAGCGCGAAAAAATTCGAGTATTTTTTTAAAAGGTTTAGCAAAGTTAGAAAACATTTGAAACATATTTTTCAAATTAATTTGGAATTTGAATTATTTTTGAATAATTTAAACAAATTCAATTAAGTCCAAAAACATTTTGCCCATATTTATTATATCAAAATATAGGTTCAACAATTCGTATACTACACCACCTTGTTTGCAAGCATATCCTTCACAATGATCCGTCGTTCGTGATCGTTCAATATGCACCCCTTTAAGGGTACTTTTAAAGTTTCTTACTCATTAAGAGTATTTTGATAATTTATGTCTCCTAGAGGCATTTGGGTCATTTCATAATTTAAGTCCCTTTTCTAAGCTTAGTTATACATTTTATAACAATCTATAGACACTCAGATGCAACGAGTAATGTTTTGAATATTTTGGTATTGGACAATATTGATACTGGTATTGATATGAGCATCGATACTTCAAGAATAATATTGATATCGATATTGATATCGATACTACAAAAACAATATCGATACTACAAGAACAATATCGATACTACAACCTAGAAAATCTTGAATAAGGCTCAAGAATCACTCAAAAACCTTCTCAAACACTCTAGTTTAATCCCAAATCAGTAAATAAAACTAAAGAGTCTTATAGGGTCATCTAACACCCTAAAAACAATCTTTACAACAATAACATCATCTAAGCATAAATCAAGTAAAAATCCTAACATTCGTAAACATCTAAATCATAACAAAGCATCATGATTATGAAAGTCATAACACCACTAATAATTAGAAATATACTACCTTAGTTAAGGAATCAGACACGAAGCTCATTTCTTCAACTACATTTGTTTTCTCATCTCCATTTAAATTTGAACAATCTATACCCACTTTCTCTAGCCAACAAAAAAAGCAAGACTCTTAATCCTTAAACGATGTTGTTGGAAGACTTAAAGATTGATTTAAAGCTAGATGAAATACAAAAGAAGCCTTTACCACACCATTCTTAATCCATGAAGTTTAAAGAAGACGATGGAAGAAAAAAAGGAAGAAAAAAAAAAGGAGGAATAAAGAATGAGGAGAAGAGACTGTTGAAAGTTATTATATTTTTCTCAAAATCCACGCCGTAAAAGCCAAAAAATATCATCATTGTCTTTAAAAATGTGATAGTTACTCTTTTGGTCCTTTTACTTTGATCTCAATTCCAAAATTACCCTTTTTATAATCTTTTGGGTTTAATACTAGCCCAAACTTGGCCCACTTCTTCTTAATGGACTATCCAATTCATCAAAGACCCACTCAGTTCAACCCAAAACTATGAACCCGAAGTTCGGAGTGTTACAACAAGTGTTAGCTTGTCATTGTCCATTAATAATTTAAAGGCGAAGTGATATAATTGAATGTAAAATTAAATTTAACTACTGTAATTGACAAAACTGAAAGTTTAATAATATAAAAGTCAACAGACAATGTTTGACAATATCTAATATAATTTATAATAATTATTTTCGTATTTAATTCATTAAATCGAATTTTTCCGATGAAATTAGTTTTAAAAACGTACCATCTCTTAAAATTATTCTCATATTATTTTGGTGATGTAACATAAATTAGATCTTATTTTCTATGTTTGCAATACATGGTTACCTCTTTTTCGTGTCAGTTCGATATCATATTCGTGACATATAAGTAATTCCAGACAATTTTGTTCATGGAAAAAACAACAGAAAAGCAAATTAAAAGTTATAAATACATAGACCTCAATTCAGTCCAAGGCAAAATATTCTACATAAAAGATATGCAAAGTACTTCATGGATCGGTTCTCCGATTAGAACAATTACATTGGACAGGCTATATTCCGACAACCGTAGAGAAATCTACTGTACCAAAGCACTTGTGTTGTAAACAAGAAGTGCACCTCCGGCCAGAATTCCGGCGAGCGTGACGGCCCAGATTGCCAGTCCGGTAGTACCTGCAAGCGACGGCATTTTATAACATATTTAGTTCCACGATCACACCAAATTTACTTCTTTGAGTGTCACAAGTATTTGAACCAAAGTTGAATTGTATACGTACCGCCAACATAAACATCACCACTGGGAGACCAATCGTTGGTGTTGTAGATAGGGCTGCGTTTCAACCGTCACAAATATATATATATCAGAACTTTATACAATGATAGACCGAGGAAGTTGAAGGAGATAATTATTCTTTAAAAAATTTAAATTATCGTAAAATTTAAATATTTTTATGGATTCTATTGATAATCTAATTTTATCCATGAAATTTTATAATTTCATCTCTTGATATAAAATTATGCGTTCATTAATGCATGTATATATAAATAGGTAGTAGGTGTGGTAGGCATGAAGATAATTCATCATACCTATAACCATCGACGTTAGCACCATATTTGTCAGTGAATTGGTAAACACCCTTTCCCTGCATCAAATTTACATGGCTAAATTCTCAAGATATATACAATATAAATGTATATGCAATAAATTTTCAACTATTTTTTTGGCACAAACAGAAAAGGCTAGAAAGAATGAGGAATACCAACCTTGCCCTTCCTTCCGGAGGCATCAGCACCATCCCTCAAGTTCATACCACCGTTGATACCTTTGAAAACATTCAAAATCCATTATTGAAAATTTATTAGATCATTTTATATCAAGTCCCAAATTTTTGTTAATTGAGCTTTGAGTTAAGGTCTGCTTGATAATCCTTTAAAAACATTTAATTCATCAAAAATTAATAATTTCAGTGATTAAATATATTTTTAGTTACAAGTGATTTAATATTTTAAGCACGTTCGATAGTCTAAAATTGAAATTATTTGTTAATTTTTTTAAGAAAAAAGTATAAAAAAATTAGTAGATAATGACCTACTTACCACTTAATAGAGAATAGTTTTAACATTATTTTATTTTAACTTTACTTTTGACCATGTTATCCTTTAAGATGTTTATTTATTAAACAATCTAATTATTTTCATTATTTATCTTATAGTTTCAATTGAAATTATCTAATATTAACTAAAAAGAGCGTAATTATATTTAGTAAAAGAATTTCATATACATTAAAAATTAAATTTAAGTCTGAGATAATTATAAAAAATAGTATATGTTTATATATTTTATTAATAATTGACAATATACATATATCCTGCAGCCAGACGTGGGTAGAATAATATTTCTTTCGACTAATGAAATCACTGATTCTGTTTTCTATATTATTATGTAAACTATTCTTTTAATTTAATTTTTTTATCATAATTTAAACTTCAATTTTATTTTTTTAAATTAATTTGTAGGTGGTTTAATCTCTCCCTGTACTCTTAAATTGTACTTAACTGACTCTATTATCAAGTCCAAGTGTTGGATCTAAACCTTGTTTAATATTAACCAAACTCTCTAACAAATCTAATCTTTCCTTATCATAAAATGTTAAATTCTGAAGATGAAATTAAAATAAAATAGGAAGAGAGTGAGATAATAACCATAAGGCTTGTCGGTCTTGATCTTCTTGCCGCCACTGGCTTCAACCTTGAAGGAAGAAGGTGCCCTTGCAAGGGACGGGAGACCCCTCACACCCGATCTCTCGACTCTGAAAGAAGGCTTGAGGCTAACTGAAGATGCCATAACTGAGGCTGCCATTATTACTCACAATTCCTTCTTTTTCTCTGATCAAAATGTGCACCTCAAAAGAAACGTTTGCCTCTGCTTTTCTATTTGGTAATGGGATAGAAAATCTGGAGATGGTGGACGTGGTCTTGACACGTGGACATGCATGTGTGGTTCATATCTGGATATGAATGCTTGCAAACGCGACACAACGTTATCAGGATTAACCCCATTTCATTGGCTCATTCGTTGCTATCTCCACTTGGTTTTGTTGTTTCGTTATTTGTCTTACAAATGCTTCAGCACCACAGCTTTTTTTTTTTAATAATCAATCGAATATAAATATAAAAAAAATCTGCTGCTTTTTAGTTACGTTTTCAAACTTGCATCCGATTCAAATATGAAAACTATATAAATCATTTAGTTATGACCGAACAAGAAATTATGAAAAAAATCACAATACCCTTACATACGAAACTTCCAAATTCTTTTCTTTATCATTCTCACCTATTTGAAGAATACCATCGTCCTTGCTAAATTAATCCGAAACTTGTTTATAAATTGTATTCCACATCGCCAATCTTATCCATTTCCTATGTGCATCTTATATGTAAAATGCAAATTGAATCCTCACTTCACCACCTACATTATCAATCTTATAAAACTGTCTTGTTCAACTACCACACTTGGAATTTAACCAAAATAATATTTAATTCGAATGAGTTGCATGTGTATTTTGAATCTACTTTTACTTATGAAAGGAGTTGTGTTTTATTTCCTAATCCAATGGGCTGGTTTGGTTAAACTAAGATCCATGAATAGCATAGTTTGAGACCATAGTTATGGGTCAGGGTTTTGTGTACTGCCCATTTAGGTTAAGAGTTTTGGACTTGACATTGTTGTATCCTATGAAAGAGTTATATCATATCACTTCTCTTCATATATTAACTTATTTATCGCTTCCCTATTTTTCTAAATTAAGTAATTTGATGGTTAAGAAGATAGTTATTATTCTTAAAAGTTTTAAGTTCGAGTACGATGTCTGAAAGAACGTTCGAACATTAATGATCAAATAATTGAGAATTTTTCGAACACGTACTATCTTATAGAAAAGTAAAGTACGAAAAATATGTATAAATAATAAACAGGACAAATTATGTTGATGTCCCCAAGTTTCTAGCTGGAAACAAGCATTATTGTAGTGATGAATTGTAGGCAGGCAGAAGAATCCATTGGTTGCCAGCTTATTTGATCGACTTGAAATCCATTTTTTTCCTCGTCTAAGAAACTTCAATTCCAAATCGTCATCACTTTCCTGTACATTTCGTTTAATTTTGGACTTCAGTTTTGAACCATTTAAGTTCAATCTTAATGATGTCATTATCTGCTAACTAAATTCATTTGTTTTATCGCCAGACAAGGAATCTTTTTGGCAAAAAATTTCCACTAATAAATCTTTTAAACTTTAGAAAAATGGAATTAATTAAACATTTATTACCTATCTTATCATCCTTTTTGTGCCTACTAAATGACTGGTTTGAAAGGGTTTATTAGTTTGAAGTTTAAAGACAACCAGATATATAACTCCTAAGCTAATCTGGGGATTTCGCCAATAAGCAAACTTTGATATGACTTCGGGTAACCCGTCCTGACTCGGTTACAACTAGAGATGGATATGAATAATCAAACTTTTTGAAAATTTTAAATTCTCAAATATTTTAAGTTTTTTTTATTGATAATCCGTTTTCATCTCTAACATTTTATAAATATACTTTTTAATAAAATCTTACGTTGGTCCTTGATACAAGAGTAGCGTTATAGCATGAGTACTCAAGCCTCAGCCTAAATGTGATCCGAGCGTTGGCTTAGATGGCATGCATGTTCTAATAGACTGGATTTTACGCGTGATGTCCCAACAGTTTTTAAACAATGTGATATCAGAAAATGACAGAATTTTGCTTGTTGTTCCCCAATTGTTTATGATATCATTTTCTGTCATTTTCTTCTCCTCTTTTGTACAATATTTTCTGGTTTAGTTGCAAATAATCCTTGAAAGTATTTATGAAAATATTAGAAAAAATGGTAGACTGATAGTTGAAAATCTTCGGGTTAGGAAAAGGGACTGATTAAAGAGAAAAAGCAGAAGGGAACAAGTCCTTGCTTTCTAATTTGGATGATAATAATAAAGATTCACAGCAAATTCTTCCCTCTCTCAAACATGGGCATAGGAGAATGAAACACTATGTTTCGTATGGTAGGAGAACGGCTTTTCTCTTATAAGGAGAATGATTTACAAACGTGTTGTTATGGGAAAACAATTTTTTATCTTGGTCACATCTACTAAAACCCTGTTAGGCTCAGAAGAAACTGTGTGCATTTCCAGATTTTGCAATGAATTTTGTCTTTAAATTTTTTGAATAGAGTGTGCAGGAATGCGTGTGGAACCCTCCACAGACAAATTCCGCTGTTGGGGTGTGATAAGATCTTCGGATGCATCAAATATTTCCATCAGAATAATGTCGTTAAGGAAAAGTGACCAAATACACCAAAAAGAAGGGGGGAAAGAGAACAAATTCAAGCCCCCACAACGTCTAGAAATTTACCCTTTTTTCCTACTATCTACACCTTAAACATGTTACTATAATCAATGAAAGGTCGAGGGACGATTAACAATATCAATCCTAAAAATTTAAATTATCATAAAATCTTATATTTATCTCCGATATATGTTAAACTCATATAAGTGTTGACATAGTTGGCATCTTATACGGTATTTTAACAGTTTTTGATGAATCATATCTTTATACTAGTAATAAAAAATATGTTAACTTCAAGTGTTGAATTTAAGCATTTAAGAAAAAAATATGACAACCCTAAAACTTGATAATACAAATGAAACTCTAATTTGCCTTAATATATGCGAAATATTCCCATAAAAAGGGACAACTTGTGACCGAAAATCGTAGAACAGCATGCGGCTTCTCTCATTTATGTTTGCGGAGTAATAATAGTAGTTGGTAGACATTGTAGGGTCTCCAACCCTATAAAATCCAAAATAAAACAACATACCAAATTTGGCTGTCGTCCTTACGTAGTAATTTTACTGTTACATATGTAATCAGCAGAAGTAGTCTAGTGGTGGCCCTGGAATTGCAGGCCAGCTTTTTGGATTGACATCTTGAATTCCGAGGCTTTCATTCACTACTAATTCGGTCCAATCTTTGCTTGAATTTGCAATTCAGTATTAATCTTTCATTTTCCTATAATTTATTTCCCTTTTTCTTGAATGAATATGACAATTCCAAACATAAAAAACACACTCATAAATCATACGATGTCACCTTGTCATATGAAATCGCCTCCTCTTCAATGATCACTCCATATGGAATCATCAAAAAGGAAAGAAGAAATGATTTAATTTCTTTGCAAAATTTTACCACACCATACTTAATTCATTCAAAAAAAGTTTTGTTTCTTTCCCATCGCTATCATTTCATTCAGAAGGTTATGTTCTCTCACAAGTATTGTACTATAAGAATTCTGGAGCAAAACCTTGTCCCCATCCCATGGTGGGAGTTGGATGGCCCACCGCAAACTTTTTTAGTTGAATTGTATTTCAAGTTCTTAATAATTTTAAAACTATTGAAATTTAGTTTGAATTTATAATAGTCTTTGTAGGCTGATTTGGGTTGAGATTATACATGATGTTAACAGATTTCATTATTATTCTAAAACATTTAAATTAATTTGATAAAAATAAAATAATTAAACTGATAATAAAATTTATATTTGATGGGAGGAAATATTTAGACAAGATCTAGACTTAGGAAAAGGGACCGACCACAAAATTTTCAACGGCTATAACACCCTCGGGTTTATAGGGTGTTGCCTCTAACCAATAATAGTTTTGTTTATTTTTGAATAGTTTTTCTTTTTGCTAGGCTTAAATTTATTAATAAATTAACCACTAGAAGTGAGTCTCGTTAAAAATTTCTCTAGACTTAAATGAAAGAAAAGAATACTCAGAATACAACGAAGAATAGACCCCATACTCGAACGAACCGTCCGCTACCCGAATAACCAAACTAGCTAATAGTGGGGAATTTTTAGTTTTAGTTTGCATCTTTAACATCTAATTAGGCCGAATGCTTATGGAAGTAATCACAAACACCTCATTTCTAACTAAAAATTCATGTTTGAGAAGTTATTATTGACTCGGTGATTTTGCGTTTGAAAAACTCGTTGAAAAAGCTAATTTAGATAATCATTCCTAAACGAAATAACCTTCTTTTTTTATGTGAGAAGAAAACTAAATTATTACATTAAGGCCTTGATTAAAATTTTGGACTTTTTAATATATTTCTTGTTATACATTTTGCGAGGCATAGTTGAATATTACATTAAAATTTTAAATATTAAAATTCGATTTTCATAATATATTAATTCTTGTAAATTAATATGAAAAATTATGATTCGAGCTTTAGTAATCAGATCCTTTCCTCAAATTTGTAATAGCAAAAACTATTAAAATAATTCATTACCCGATTTAATCGTCTGCCTATTTTGTTTCTTATTCGTGATTCTTAAGGTCTTTTCCCCTCACGCAAGGATGGATGTAGGGAACTAGGTTACAAGCCATACATATACAACATATATATTTATGTGTATTTATAGACTCACGCACGAGTGCACCCAGCCAATTCATTTTTATGGAGACGAAATCAGTTTTTTTCTAATATTTTTTCCAAAAAATAGTTTGAGATAATTATTATTTATTAGGTAATATATGTTCATAATTTTTCTCAATCATTGATACTACGTATTCCCCTACAAACGTATTTACTTGAACTTAAGACCTCTAAGGAAAATAACAATCCCTTTTATCACAAATTTCACTTAATGAAATCCGTTTCTATTTACCAAAACTAAAATGATTTTACTTGTTCTTTTAACTTTATGTATATATGTCTAATACTTTAGCAAACCCACTACCATATTTCATATTTAATTGATGTTCACGATCATTCATGTTAAATAAAATTAAAAACATCTAACTATAATTTTAATATAAACGACAT